TAATAAGAAAATATTTCTTTCACACATGTACTGGTATTTAAGTATTATTCGTTTTCAAAATTCAAACAAAAAATTATAAGCTGCATTCAACAAAAATATAGCTTTATACAATGTTATATACTTTAACTGATACTATGGTGTGTATTTATAAAATAAACATTATTGAAACAAATCAATGAACTTGTTTTGACTTTTATTTCTTGAGGCGATAGGCCTGAACAAAAATACCTCTGAGGTTTTGTATGCTTAGAATCGTTATTATGAATGAATGTCATCTAAATTGTAATTGTTACCGATAAGGAAGTGTTTTTGTTCAACAAAACTTTGACTTATAAATGCACTTACATGTCCTCGTTTTGTTGTGTTACTGAACACACATTATACTAGTAGCCACCGGCCCTTTAACAACGTATTTTATTTATTTTTACTCTTCGGTTCGTTCCTTTTCATGGTTATCCCCGTTTACATTACTTGTCAATGCAGTAATATTGACCGAGAAGCACTTGCCTATCAGTCTATCAATGGTAGAATAAGACGGATAAAATCAAGATTATTTCAAATAATTATTGGAGTCATTAAACTACTGTTTTATAGTTATATTCTATGGCAAATACTATATATATAGAATAACACCATAGATACACTTACTTTATTGAAAGTTTGTAGATCCATTAATGAAAAAATACATACATTGTAAGGCTGATATTAAATGTTAGAAAGGCCTCGGATAAAGCTTCATGAGATGAAATAGCCTAACCACAAATGTGTCCGAATGCGAAAAGTGACAAGGTTGAAAAGCGAGACATCCTATTAAGCAAATAAACTAATTACATTTGAGAAACGACCCTTCCTTTTATTGGGGGCAATTAATTTGCATACATGTTTTTTCTTTATTTTGTGACAGGAAACAAGTATATCAAGTTTGTAGTGAATAGGTTTTATAGTTTCTGAGAAAACATCAATTTTACTCCATACTTCATTTAATGGTTACTTTTACATTCTTCCATAAACCATTGATATTAATTATACTCATACTCTAAAGTATTACGATGTGTACATAAAATGCTTTAATATCATCTTAGACATGACAAAAAGAATTATTAACTAAAATGTAAGAAATAGGGCAAATATCAACAAAATATGCGCATTGTGAGTAAAATCAACGAAGAAAACTTGGGTCCCCATGACATTTAATGCAATAAACATCAAATTACCTCGAAAATGAATCGTTTTAAGCCTACAAAGTGAAACTATTCTGGATAACAACGATGATCCACAAAACAACCAAGTTAGTATTTGCTAACTCCATAAATTTAACGTAGGTGCATGTAACAGTATTTAATCTTCAGATTTGTATTCTAAAAGCTACAATTCAAAATTTTCTGACCTAATGATGATCGTCTGCTACATTTTGATATATTTCAATGACGGTAATCTACTCATTAGTGGTTTATAAAGGTAAGCACAAGGAGGCAAATTATAATGATTAAAATCATGAGAAACTGTTTACATGCCACATTCAAATAGTAGTTTTCTTTATGAATTATGTAAATGCAGGAAAAGGAATGTGCATCAAATTTATACAAGTCATTGGAAGCTTACAACCTAGAGAAAAACGAAAACATAGTAATATATATCACGATGCTCTAGAGTTTATAAAATCAAATATGTCCTCCGCTCTTTACAATTTCACGTATCAACACTATTATCAACTACTTGAAAAATTGCATGATAAAGTTTCGTCTTTTTTTAACATAAGATTGTACTGTGCCATCATGTTTACACCTAAATGTGCAGCTCTGCTATTTTCGGCGCCAATTAATTCACCAATCAGAATCGAAACCACACATAGTTTATTGTCGTGGATTTTTACACAAGGTGCACCAGATGACCCTTCTCTCAATTTTTCCGAATGAAACGAATCTGACGACATGTCAATATTTCTCCAACTCAGGCATGTTGTTTATTCCTTTTTCAACTTGTTTTTGTAACAGTACATTTAAGCTAATTTGATGCATCAGCCAAACATGCAAACATAGTTGTGACTTAGAATTCATTTATGTCTCACAAGTATGGTTCTTGTTATCTCATGGCAGCTGTTGTTTCAAAATTCACTAACGCATGAAATAGGACACAGGAAAGCATCACCGTCGAAAGAAAACATGATATACAGTCTTCAAGTACAAGTAACATGGTTTGATTGCCTTATAATTTCATGTCTATGAATAATGTAAAAGGGAATTTATTGATGTAAAATACACTAATTCAATTATAGTTTGGGTCAACATGCCAAGTTGGGTCCACGACACAGGAACTATTGTCTTTTGATGGACAAACGACCACATTGCAGATCTGTTCGTTCAAAGTACCTAAAGGCACGGACAATGTTCGAAATAGATATCTTGACAACAAGAATTTGTAAAAGAGTTACCAACATCCCCACCTAAAGGAAATTTTACACGAAGCACAGACTATTAAATGATTGGTCAATATTGTCCAAAACTGAATGTCTGGTCAATATATTTCTCTGGTCAATATTGCCAAATATTACATGCTTCGTCAATATTGCCCAAAACAGTTTTTTGATAACTTTAACAGTGATTACATAAGTATAGACTAAACAATGGACTCTACTTTGTACATAAATTTATGCACAAGGTAAAATACATTTTTCATGCAGATAGTCCTTTTGTAATTAAAGCGACACGCGTAAAAATATTTCATTTTTTACATTTATTTACAAATATGCACAAATTTATAATCTTTGCGTATTTTTGAATGTGTGGGTTACGTCATTTTATATAAATTTCATAAATCTTTACGTAAACGTAAGACCGTCGGTGTTATAAACCATTTTCTGCCTTCATGTCATCTAACAAAATCATACACACTTTTTAACATGGCTTAAGATTAATAAGGAAGTAAATTTTCCTTCATACGTTAAACAAATAAATGTATGTTAGTGTGTTCATTGACATGAAACCTCAAACATTTGTAAACTGATAGACTTATACTAGTACATGAGCAAATGTAGCCTTTTCCAAACTGCTCAAGTTATTTTTTTTTATTTTTTTCTCTCATGCTATCGTGGTATTTAAAATCCTGTGTAAAATAAGTGATACCATATAAGCGAACTAAAAGAATAAACATTTCACCCAGCCTAGTGTACCTTTCAAATTGTATTGACACATATCTAAAATTATGAATCAGTGTATGGTTAATTCACGGATAAAAGTTATTAGCTACTTATCAAAATAATACTTACGTCAATTATATTGTTTCGTTTATCTTGTACTTATTTGTTATCGACCATAATCGCAATACGGACAAAGTTTAAATTCATAGATATGAAATCTATATATTTCGCACACTTATTATATTTGAGTTTGGAAAATCATACACTTTGTAAATTAAGGCCTACATTATGTTCATAAATGGTTCTCGATAAGAATTAAGAAATATGTGAAATGTATTTATACTATTCAAACAATATATCATTGCATGATTAAATACAAAATTCGTGAAATCTATCAGAACCGGGAATGATCCAGTTTTCTTACAAAACAGTACTGTTCAGTAGTTTTCAAAACAGTTACAAGTTTTACATAATATCAATATAATAGTCATATTAAAGAAATAGCTCAACAAAAAGAAAGATATAATCGATTAACATACGTAAAGTTTATATTCAATTTTGTAACGCGCCTGAAAATCATAATTTAAGAACCTGTTCAAGCATGTGTCATTCGATTCGAACTTATTAAACGTAGTGACAAAATTTTTTTCCTGGACCAAACAGTACGTATCAAATATACTCAATGCTCATCATATTTTAGATACCGATCTTGTTTCTTTAAGTATCAATATCTGGTAAAAAGTGATCCCTCGGAAGCATTAAAAACAGAAAAATTACATGAAAATTGCAGATTCTGTTTGATTTAGTATGTACATGAGATATTATCAAAAAGTTCAACTTCCCTAACGCCCCTAGCACTGGCTTAAACGGGACTCAATTCTCAACACTTACAAGTAAAGAATGTTGCAATTTTTTACGGCTTCCACACAGTACTTAACACCTGCTGTTGTGATGTATAAACATTTGTTAAGAACAGCAAAATTCCATGAAAATTGCAGACCTGGTTTGATGACTTTATTTTAAAAAAAAATATTCAATTACAAGGGTAGTAGAAATGGATGTCCTTTCTGTCGAGTGGCATGTTTGTTTGTGATCCATATATGGATATTGCAAAACATGCAAAGATATATCTTAAAACAATTATTTTAAACCTTACAAAATGCAATTTAGGAACTTCGGGCGTTTTCACCATGTGATCTTCCATATTAGTCTTTTTGTGTCAACCTGATCAATTAAGCCCTCCTCGTTATTTTCCGAGTCTAAATAAATACATATCAAATTGATATTATACTCCTCCAAACCACGTCATTCATTTACAGAGTCAAAATATATTAATTGTATGTCATATTGTACACGAAGTAGCTGAAGTTCTTTCAAAATATCAGTTAATTTGCATTGTGAATTTAAAAGGTTATTTTACATTGTCTAGTACAATACTGATTATTTCGAACTCATTCACATTTGCAAAACATATATTGGATGAGGCACTAGGTTTGACAGCTGTGACAATTAAGATAAATAAAGAATTGAGTATTGAACACAAAAAATCAAAACAACCTTATATAATTACTGACACAGTATCGCTTGTCAATGCGGTAAGGCCACAAAGTCCTGCATAAATCAGTTGTGTTTGGCTCTTATAGATTGTATTAGAGAATCGTTACAGCCCGCACCTCTCAACATAGTGTGACTTGGCGTGTCAAAGTCCACTGGAGTAAAATGAAGTCTAAATATTAAGTTATCGGTAATATTTAATAATTCTTGTTCCCTTCCGATGAACAAACGTATTGTTATCGTTGCCTTAATACGTCATTTTGATTGTTCGTTTTTAGTTAAAAGTGCACTCACAAATTAAAAAAGAGCACACTTGACAGGACTACAGTAGAAACAATAAGAAATATGTATTCAGGTAAGTATATATTTTGTAGAGGCTGAGATTAAAAGACAACATAATTTTGTTGAAGTTTATATTGTTATATAAAAATTTATCTTGATATAAATACTATGCTTAAATTTAATATAAGAAAATATTGATAATTGCTACACAGTCTCTTTGTTAAATGAATATAAAATAACAAGTTTTGACTTCACAAAAAGTATAGATGATATGTTTAAAATTATACACACAACAGATGGTCAAAATATGAATATATAGTGCCATTAAAAAGCGGAAGCTATTTTAAGAAAAAAGATCAACATTACCTGACATGTTATAGGGACTGCAGCTTCACATACAAGTTTGTTCATTCTATTATTTAAATACGACATATTCAGTTAGAATTTCATAGATGTTAATAAATTTCAGTGATTTAAATATTTACTCTACGATGAACGTAGTATATCTTTAACAAATTACACACAATCACCAGCGTTATCACTCTGATCACTTTAGACACCGGTGTTTTAATTCATAAGCAATACATTAAACATTATATTATCTTATAAGTGTGCAGTTATAATTGGTCTCATATGTGTGTCAACACCTCGTTGTTTGTTCCTAATTATACCTTATCATGGGATGGATGAAAGAAAAGCTTTATTATATGTTGCTATTATTCGCAGATGCCATTCGGCCAATCAGAGATTCTTACTTTCACGCCGTTTGAACAATTGAAGTATTTTTTCACAGCTGCAGAAAGACCTCTTGCATATTTCGGTTTAAGTTAGCAAAATTGTTAATTAAATAATAATGATAATGACAATTATAATTTTAGAAATATGGCTTGTCAAAGATAAAAAGACAGAATTGTTTGAATTGTTTGAACCATAATATTATTTTTACTAAATTGCTTGATTCTGAACTAAATGCGGCTTTATTTTGTTGTTTTCTTTAATATTTTATTATATATATCATAATAAATTATTTAGAAGATCTAGATATTTTTCGTGAAAACTAAAGACATCGGTAATAACGAAATATTTCATTTTTACAATCTGTTTTCTCATAGTTTCGTTGTACAAAATTGGTAACATGATATTAAATTTTGTCCATAATATCATTTTATTCGCCGGGTGGCATACATTTAGTACTAAAGCTATAGCAGTAAAATATTCTATTTATCACATTTCCAAAATGATTTAGCAGTAGATGTATCGGCTATAAATCAGGTCATGCCCTGCTAGTTTAATTACTTTATCATTGTTGTGCTTCCATAGAAATATCCAATGATATTACTGGATTCTTTTTATTTCACCTGCTTCACTACGATTTTTTTGTTTTGCAGTCAGAGAAATCAAAACGCTTGATTATCTTGCAGACAAGAACAGGTTGATTGTTGCCGGGATGTATCTGAAAAATGATCACATTGCGTTTGTTGATCGTAAAAACTCGGTCCTAATCGTTACAAATACAGAGAATCAATCCTTCAGAGAACTTGATCTTGTCCAACTTCTGCCAGACCAATATCGAGCCAAAAATGCAAAGAACATACCAAAACCGTCGGATGTAAACAAAGGATTCGAAGATGACCAGCTTTTGATTACCTATACAAATACCTATACAGGCAATGATTTCTCACTGGCTATTGCATGTAGGTTTGATGTGGGCATGATAGAATTAGGTCCTCCTCTGCATGTTGTGAGAATCAATGCCTGGACAAGGTCTGTCATAGCAATAGATAAAGATAACGTTTGCGCACTTACAGAATACAATGTCATCATCAAGAATAAAGATGACAACGATGATGCTCAAGTTACGTCTTATGACCGCATAAAAAGTGACAAAGGAGGGCTTCTCATGACAGATGGTCAAGGAAACTTCTATTATGGTGATGGACACAGTTTTGTTTGGTGCTACTGGGATGGAATAAATATTGACGAAAGAAATCGATTGACAGATAATGCCCAATGTTCGATAAAATTTCCACGTGGATCTGCCATTGAACCCACCTCAGGACGAATATTTATATGCACTGATTTGTCATTTGCTATTTATAGTATTTCTAGCGACTGGGGAGACGTAAAAGAAGAGGTGTCTGGCAAAGGGAAGCAGTATGGCGACATAGACTTCAACTCCCATGGCAACAGATTCTTTACTACGTTTTGGAAGGATAATGAATGGCCGATCCTTTATGGACTTGAGGCTTAATGTACATCATATGGGAATAGAGATAATATCCAAAGTTTGACCATAGTCGATACTTTTTATGACACATATTTGTGATTAAGAAATCGGAATTGTATCAAATAACATTGTTGCCTTGCTTACTATATACATATACATCCATAATCAGTATTATTTTATCTAATTATTATTATTATTTGTGCTTACCTAAAGAATAAAGTATTTCTTCGGTATCAATACACACAGTAAAGAAAACGTGTTTATGCAAATATGTATCCTATTCAAAAGGGTGAACATTATTCTTTGTATTACTGAATATTTGAAACGGTTTATTATATGCAGTCTTGTGTTAGATGATTTAAGTCACCAAAGTCATTTTAAACACGTTTTGTAATGTCTTACTGTTTAGAATTGAAATAGTGCACCTTTGGATTTACCTACATATCGTCCATAATTTGTGAATGTATGTCGTGATATATAACTATCGTAGTAGAATAATAAGAAAATTGTTTTAATCTTGAAATCAAACGGTATAAAGCTATATTCCATGTCATGTTTAAAAAAAAAATTAAAAATAGTTTAAGAATGTAAAATACGCTTTTTTCATAATTTTACGGTGAATTATCGAAAGAGCTGAAACATGAAATGTCTGTTTAATACTGCTCGTAAACAGAATAAAATGTTCCGGAGCAAAATGCTTATTTTGCTTAATATATGCTACATTTAGTAGGATTTTACCAGTAAACAATACCACTAGTTAATAAGAAAATATTGCTTTCACACGTGTACTCGCATTTTAGTATTATTCGTTTTCAAAATTCAAACAAAAAATTAGAAACTGCATTCAACAGAGATATAGCTTAATATACTTTAACTGATGCTATGGTGTGTATTTTATAAAATAGAAATTATTGAAACAAAGCAATGAACTTGTTTTAACTTATATTTCTTGAGGCGATAGGCCTGAACAAAAAATACCACTGAAGTATGGTATGCTTAGAATCGTTATTATGAATGAGTGTCATCTAAATTGTAATTGTTACCGATAAGGAAGTTATTTTGTTAAACAAAACTTTGACTTATAAATATACTTACATGTCCTCGTTTTGTTGTGTTACTGAACACACATTATACTAGTAGCCACTGGCCCTTTAATAACGTATTTGATTTATTTTTACTATTCGGTTCGTTCCTTTTCATGGTTATCCCCGTTTACATTCCTTGTCAATGCCGTAATATTGGCCGGGAAGCACCTGCTTATCAGTTTTACAATGGTAGAATAAGACGGATGAAATCAAGATTATTTCAAATCATTATTAAAGCCATTAGACAACTGTTTTATAGTTATATTCTATGGCAAATACTATATATAGAACACCTTAGATACATTTATATTATTGAAAGTTTGAATATCCATTATTGAAAAAATACATTCTTTGTAAGACTGATATTAATTGTTAGAAAGGCCTCTGATAAAGCTTCATGAGATGAATTAGCATAACCACAAATGTGTCCGAATGCGAAAAGTGACAAGGTTTAAAAGCGAGAGAATTCATCATTTTAAGCAAATAAAAAAAATACAATTGAGTTACGACCCTTCCTTTTATTCGGGCAAATTTATGTGCAGATATCTTTTTTTTCTTTATTTTGTGACAATAAACAAGGATATCAAGTTTGTAGCGAATAGGTGTTATAGTTTCTGAAAAAAAAACGTCGAAGCTGACGAAAGTGTCATGGCAGAAGCTCCATGTTTTCTTTCTTCGAAAAGTGGAACAAAAGAAATGTAGAAATTTTACTCCATACCTTATTCAATGGTTACTTTTACATTCTCCCATAAACCATTGATTTAAATTATACTCATACTCTAAAGTATTACGATGTGTACATAAAATGCTTTAATATCATCTTAGACATGGCAAAAAGAATTATTAACTAACAAAGTAAGAAGTAGGGCATATATCAACAAATATACGCATTGTTAGTAAAATCGACGTAGCAAACTTGGGTCCTAAAAGACATTTAATGAAAAAACATCAAATTATCTAAATAATGAATCGTTTTAAGCCTAAAAAATGAAACTATTTTGGATCACAACCATGATCCACAAAAACCAAGTAAGTAATTGACAACTCCGTAAATTTAACTTTGGTACATGTAACAGTAACCAATTTTCAGATTTGTGTTGTAAAATCTATAATTTATAGTTATATTATTAATAAATAATTTTAAAAAGAAATATTTCTCTGACCTAATGATAATCGTCTGCTACATTTTGATATATTTCAATGACAGAAATGTACTTATTAGTGCTCTATAAAAGTAAGCACAAGGAGGCAAATCATAATGATTTAAATCATTAGAAACTCTTTACATGACGCATTCAAATAGCAGTTTTCTTTATGAATTATGTAAATTCAGGAAAAGGAATGTGCATAAAATTTATTCAAGTCATTGGAAGCTTACAACTTAGAGAGAAATTAAAACAAGATAGTATTTATATTACGATGCTCTAGAGTTTATAAAATCAAATATGTCCTCCGCTCCATTACAATTTCACGTATCAACACTATTATCAACGACTTGAAAAATTGCATGACAAAGTTACGTCTTGTTTTAACATAAGACTGTACAGAACCATCATGTTTACAACTAAATGTGAAGCTCTGCTATTTTTGGCGACAATTAATTCACCAATCAGAATTGAATTAGTTTAATGTCATGGATTTTCACACAAGGTGCACCAGATGACCCTTCCCTCAATTTTTCCGAATGAAACGATATGTTTTCTTCGCAATCTGACGTCATGTCAATATTTCTCCAACTCAGGCATGTTGTTTATTCCTTTTTCAACTTGTTTTTGGAAGTATGCCCAACAATTCAAATGCCATCTGTTATATGCGAAACATAATGCGCTTTCTTTGATGTACTTTGTATCTGCAGCAATGCTACATCTAGATCTCTACTGAAAAATATGAGCTTTAACTTTTTTTTCTTCATCTTTGAATATCACTTCAATTTGATCTTAGTCAATATCTTGTAAAGGTAATATAGTACATTTAAGCTAATTTGATGCATCAGCCAAACATGCAAACATAGTTGTGACTTCGAATTAATTTATGTCTCACAAGTATGGTTCTTGTTATCTCGTGGCAGCTGTTATTTCAAAATTCACTAACGCATGGAATAGGACACAGGAAAGCATCACCGTCGAAAGAAAATATGATATACAGTCTTCAAGTACAAGTAACATGGTTTGATTACCTTATAATTTCAGGTCTATGAATAATGTAAAAGGGAATTTATTGATGCAATATACACTAATTCAATTATAGTTTGGGTCAACATGCCAAGTTGAGTCAACGACACAGGAAGTATTGCCTTTTTATGGACAAACGACCACATTGCATATCTGTTCGTTCAAAGTACCTAAAGGCACGGACAATGTTCGGCCGAAATAGATATATTGACAACAAGAATTTGTAATAGAGTTACCAATGTCCTCACCTAAAGGAAATTTTACACGAAGCACAAACTGCTAAATGATTGGTGAATATTGTCCACAACTGAATGTCTGGTCAATATTTCTCTGGTCAATATTGCCAAATACTACATGCTTCGTCAATATTGCCCAATACAGTTTTTTGATAACTTTAACAGTGATTATATAAGTATAGACTAAACAATGGACTCTACTTTGTACATAAATATATGCACAAGGTAAAATACATTTTTCATGCAGGTAGTCCTATTGTAATATAAGCGACACGCTTAAAAATATTTCATTTTTTACATTTATTTACAAATATGCACAAATTTATAATCTTTGCGTATTTTTGAATGTGTGGTTTACGTCATTTTATATAAATTTCATAAAACTTAAAGTACACGTAAGAACGTCGGTCTTATAAACCATTATTCAGCCTTATGTTATCTAACAAAATCATACACAAGTTTTAACATGGTTAAAGATTAATAAGGAAGTAAATTTTCCTTCATAAGTTAAACAAATAAATGTATGTTAGTGTGTTCATTGACATGAAACCTCTATAATTTGTAAACTGATAGACTTATACTATTACATGAGCAAATGAAGCCTTTTCCTAACTGCTACTCGAAAAAAGTTATTAGCTACTTATTAGAATAATACTTACGTCAATTATATTGTAATGGTCAGACGTATAAATCTCAAGTACACATATTCAGAAAATAGAAAACCTTGTTTCGTTCATCTTGTACTTATTTGCTATCGGTCATAAACCATGTAAACGCAGTAAGGACAATGTTTAAATTCATAGATATAAAATCTATACATTTCGCACACTTATTATGTCTGTACTTAAGATAATGAACCACAACAAACAGGTTTATTCGTGTAGGTATAAATTTTAAAAAATGGTACCGATTTGGTATTTTAAAACTTTGTTCTTTAATGCGAGATTCACAAAAAATACTTTAAACATAATATGCCTGTCTGAGGTAAGTTTTTGATTTTTGGAAAATCATACACTTTGTAAATTAATGCCTACATTATTTTCATAAATGGTTCTCGATAAGAATTAATAAATATGTAAAATGTATTTATACTATTCAAACAATACACCATTGCATGATTAAATAAAAATTTCATGAATTCTATCAGAACCGGGAATGATTCAGTTATCTTAAAAAAATACTGTAGTTTTCAAACCAGATACAAGTCCTACCTAATATCAACATATTGTCATATTAAAGAAATGATTCAACAAAAAGAAAGACATAATCGGTTAACTTACGTAACGTTTATATTCAATTTTGTAACGCGCACGAAATCATAATTTAAGGACCTATTCAAGCAATTGTCATGCGATGTTAACTAGTTAAACGTAGTGAAAAAATTTGTTTTCCTGGACCAAACAGGACGTATCCAATATACTCCATGCACATCATATTTTAGATAGCGATATTTCTTTCTTTAAGTCTCAATATCTGTTAAAAGTGATTCCTCGGAAGCATAAAAAACAGCAAAATTACATGAACATTGCAGATTCTGTCTGATTTAGTTATGTACATGAGAGGTTATTAAAAAGTTTAACTTCTCTCACGCCCCCTAGCACTGGCTTAAACGGGACTCAACTCTCAACACTTACAAGTGCTGAATGGGGCGATATTTTATGGCTTCCACACAGCACTTGCCACCTGCTGTTGTGATGTATAAACATTTGTTAAAAACAGCAAAATTCCATGAAAATTGCAGACCTTGTTTGATGATTGTGATTAAAAAAATATATTCAATTACATGGGAAGTAGAAATGGCTGTCCTTTCTGTCGAGTGGCATGTTTGTTTGTGATCCATATATAGATATTGCAAAACATGCAAAGATATATCTTAAAACATGTTATTTTAAACCTTACAAAATGCAATTGAGGAACTTCGGGTGTTTTCACCATGTGACCTTCAATGTTAGTCTTTTTTGGATCCATTCTGATCAATTTAGCCCTCGTCGTTATTTTCCGAGTCTAAATAAATACATATCAAATTGATATTATACTCTTCCAAACCACGTTTTCATTAACGGTGTCTAAATGTAGTAATTGTATATCATATTATACACGAAGTAGCTGAAGTTCTTTCAAAATATAAGTAAATTGGCATTGTGAATTTAAAAGCTTGTTTTACATTGTCTAGTACAATACTGATTATTTCGAACTTACTCACATGGGCAAAACATATATTGTATAAGGAACTAGGTTTGACAGCTGTGAGAATTCAGATATAGAATTGAGTATTGAACGCAAAACATCAAAACAACCTTATATAATTACTGACACAGCATCGCTTATCCATGCAGTAAGGACACAAGGTCCTGCATAAATCAGTTGTGTTTGGCTCTTATAGATTGTATTACAAAAACGTCACAGCCCGCACCTCTAAACATAGTGTGACTTGGCGTGTCAAAGTCCACTCGAGTAAAATGAAATCTAAATATTAAGTTATTGGTAAAATAACCCGTTTTATTAAATAATTTTTGTTCCCTTCCGATAAACAGACATTGTTTTCGTGGCCTTACTACGTCATATTGATTGTTCTTATTTAGTTAAAAGAACACTCACAAATTAAAAAAGAGCACACTTGAAAGGACTAGAAACAATAAGAAATATGTCTTCAGGTAAGTTTATATTTTGTAGAGGCTGAGATTAAAAGAAAACATAATTTTGTTGAAGTTTATATTGTTATATAAAAATTGATCTTGCTATAAATGCTTTGCTCAAATTTGATATTAGAAAATATTGATAATTGCTACACAGAGCGATTTCGTAGATATAATTGTTTCAACGCAACAGCAAATTGTTAATAATAATGTATTCCGATTTAGCAGCAGTCTTTTAAAACGGAATATGTATCGGTTATAAATCAGGTCATGCATTGCTAGTAATAAAAATATCCAATGATATTACTGGATTCTTTTTATTTCACATGCTTCACTACGATTTTCTTTTTTTTATTTTGCAGTCAGAGTTATCAAAACGCTTGATTATCTTGTTGACAAGAACAGGTTGATTGTCGCCGGATGTATTTGAATAATAATCACATTGCGTTTGTTGATCGTAAAAACTCGGTCCTAATCGTTACAAATACAGAGAATGAATCCTTCAAAGAAATTTATCTTGTCCAACTTCTGCCAGACCAATATCGAGCCAAAAATCCAAAGAACATACCAAAACCGTCGGATGTAAACAAAGGATTCGAAGATCACCAGCTTTTGATTACCTATACAGGCAATGATTTCTCCCTCGCAATTGTATGTAGGCTGGATGAGGGCATGACAGAATTAGGTCCTCCTCTGCATGTTATGAGAATCAATGACAGGACAAGGTATGTCGTAGCAATAGATAAAGATAACGTTTGCGCCACTACAGAATACAAGGTCATCATCAAGAATAAAGATGACAACGATGATGCTGAAGTTAGGTCTCATCCCCGCATAAAACGTGACAGAGGAGGGCTTCTAATGACAGATGGTAAAGGAAATTTCTATTATGGTGATGGACCCAGTTTTGTTGGGTGCTCCTGGGATGGAACAAAAATTGAAGAAACATTTCGATTGACAGATAATGCCCAATATTCGATGAAATTTCCACGTGGATCTGCCATAGAACCCACCTCAGGACGAATATTTATATGCACTGATTCGTCAAGAGCTATCTTAAGCATTTCAAGGGACGGCAGACACGTAAAAAGAGAGGTCTGTGACGGAACGAAGCAGTATGGCGACATAGACTTCAACTCAGATGGCAACAGATTCTTTACTACGTTTTGGAATGATAATGAATGGCCGATCCTTTATGGACTTGAGGCTTAATGTACAATATATAGAAATAGAGATAATATCCAAAGTTGGACCATAGTCGATACTTTTTTATGACACATAATCGTGTCAAATAACATTCAATTTGGTGCCTTGTTTACTATCTATAATATATAGTGTATATGAATGGATAATCACTATCATTTTATCTGATTATTATTATTATTATTATAATTATTATTATTATAAAGTTTAAGGTATTTCTTCAGTATCCATACACATAGTAAAGAAAACTTTTTATACATATAATGTGAATAAATATGTGTCCTATTTAAAAGGTAGAACATTATACTTTGTATTACTAAATATTTGAAACGGTATATTATTTACACTTTTAAGAAAATACCTGCTTAAAAAATAAAACGTCATTTTTAAAAGCGATTTGTAATGTGTAATTCTTCAGGAATGAAATAGTGCATCTTATTTTAGATTTGGCTACATACCGTCCATCTTTTGAGAATTAAGACGTGTTATATAACAGTCGTAGCAGAATAATAAAATAACTGTTTTAATCTAACTTGATTTTAAAGGGTAAAACGCTAAATTGGACGACATACTTCCATAAAATTTAAGATTATTTTAAAAACATTAAAAACCGGTTTCTTCCATTATCTTATGGTGCATTACAAAAGAGTTTTAACACAAATTTTTTATTGTTATTGTTTTATTGTTATTTACCTCATAGAATATTGTTCGTAAACAAAATGAAATGCTCTGGAACAAATTATTAATCTGCTATGCATAGTAGGATTGTGACCGTAAACGATAATTTTGTGCATGCGCCTTTGGCTGAAAAGGAAATATTTCTTCCACACAATTTTTACAAGAACTGCTTTTTTTCTAATATTGAAACAAAAATTTTGTAAACACCACTCAAAAAAGATATAGCTTTGTATACTTTAATTGATGCTATGGTCTGTATTTTTTTTTAATAAAATTTTATTAAAAAAGAACAATAAAAGATTGATGTAAACTTGTTTTGACTTTTATTACTTCAGGCGAAGGCCTGAACATAGTCCCACTGCAGTTTGGTATGCTTAGAATCTTTATTATGAATGAGTGTTATCTAAATTGTAATTGTTACCGATAAGGTATTTATTTTGTTAAACAAAAGTTTGACTTATAAATGCACTTATATGTCCTTCTAGTTTTGTTTTGTTACTTAAAATAAATTATGCTAGAAAAAATAAATAAGCTTCATTGGACTACCAAAAAGTTGACAAGCTTGAAAAGCGAGAGAACTCATCCTAAGCAAAGAAAATAATTCTAATTGAGTTACGACTCTTTCTCATATTCGGGAAATTGATTTGCGTATATCCTTTTTTCTTCGTTTGTGACCATACACAAGCATAACAAGTCTGTAGTGATTAGCTTAATAGTTTCTGAGAAAACAGACTTTAACTTAAATGTTAACCAAGGCCAACGTCGACACCGACTAAAGTGTTATGGAAGCAGCTCGATAATTCCTTTTTTCGAAATGTGGAACAAAAAACGAAATATAAAATTTACTCCATACTTCATTGGTTACTTGTACATTCTCCCATACACTATTGATATAAATCATAACCATACTCTAAAGTATGACGATGTGTACATAAAATGCTTTAATATTATCGTTAACGAACAAACAAACAAAATTGTGATCTAACAAAGTAAGAAATAGGGCATATATCAACAATTATACGCATTGTTAGTAGAATCAACGAAGGAAACTTCACACCTTAAGGACATTTAAAGAAATAAATATTAAAATATCTCGAAAATGATTCGTTTTAAGCATTTTATTTCTTTGCTGCAAAGTAAAACTAATTTGGATAACCACCATGATCCAGGGAATAAGCATTTGACAAATCCGTAAAGTTAACGTTTGGTACATGCAACAGTATTCAAGTTTCAAATTTTTGTTCTAAAAGCCACAATTCATAATGTATCTGTAACAAATATTCCTCTGAGGTGATGCTGATCGTCTGCTACGAAAAAAAAAAAACTTTGATAATTTTCGAAGTCAGCAATTTGCTTATTAGTGGTCATTAATGGAAGCAAAAGGACGCAAATTATAAGTAATTACAAGTGCGTATAAAATCCTCAGAAACAGTTTTGGAGATTAGCCACATAAACATGGTAGTCTTCTGTATAAAATATGTACATTAAAAAAACGAAATTTATACAAATCATTGGATGCTTACAGCCTACAAAGAAACTAAAACACCCTAATATATATTACGATGCTCTTGAGTTTACGAAATCAAAAATGTCCTCCGCTTCCTTACAATAGCACGTATCAACTCTATTATCAACTACTTGAAAAACTGAGTGACAAAGGTCTTTGTCTTGCTTTAACATAAGACTATACAGAGCCATCATGTTTACACCTAAATGTGCAGCTCTGCTATTTTTGGCGCCAATTAATTCACCAATCAGAATCGAAACCACACATAGTTTATTGTCATGGATTTTTACACAAGGTGCACCAGATGACCCTTCCCCAAATTTCTCCGAATGAAACAATATGTATTTTTCGCAATCTGACGACATATCAATATTTCTCCAATTAAGGCATGTTGTTCGTTCCTTTTTCAACTTGTTTTTAGAAGTATGCCCAACAATGTAAATGTCATCACCCGGACTTGCATCTGTTATATACAAAACAGATTGCACTTTCTTTGATGGACTTTGTATCTCCAGCAATGCTACATCTAGTTCTTTATTGAAAAATATCAGCTTCAGCCTTTTGCCCCTCCTTTCATCTTTGAAAACCACTTCAATTTGATCTTGGTCAGTAGCTAGAAAAGGTGATATTATACAATTTTTCAGTTAATTTTATATACATATGTATAATTTGATTATAGCATTGATGATATAACAATAACATGAAACAAAAATGTTAATATAGAGCTGACTTAGAATTCATTCATAACAATGGTTCTTGTTATCTCATGGCAGCTAGGTTCTTCAAAATTGACGACCGTATGATTTGATTGCCTTATAATTGTAGGTCTACGAAAACTATATCATGACATTGACTGATGTAAAGTACACTACTTCAATAATAATCTTGGCTAACAATTCATGGTAAGTCAACGGCACAAGAAGTATTGCCTTTTTATGGACAAATGACTACACTGCATATCTGTTTGTTCAGAACACCTAAAGGCACGGACAATGTTCGGCCGAAATAGATATCTTGACAACAGGAACTTGTAACAGAGTTACCAACGTCCCCCGCCTAAGGGAAGTATAACATGAAGCAAAATATTGTGCTATTTCAAATGATTTAGGTGAGAATCTGAACTTTCAGTTCAAAATCTTTACCAAAGATAGACCTGCATATGTAAGTAACAATAAATTCATAAAAGATATAAAATGGAATTAATCCTGTGTATGTGTCAACAGTAATGCATTTATTTAGTTGCTATCACTATTCAACAGCCACAAAATGTAACAAATATAATATCAATACAGGGTAAGGTCTGTTACAGGGTATATTTCGTTTCCGGTATATAGTTGTTTTCATCGATCAAGGTATGTGGTCGATTCACCAATGGAATTTTATTTGCATGGGGCGTGACCCTGCAACATACCATTTTAGGCTTTGACCTTAAAGTGTGATTTTGACCTTTGAGGTAGAGGTCTATGTGTTACGCCTATCATTTTAAACATTATTGAAAAATTTCTTGATTCGTGAAAAAGGTATATTCCAGATACAAAATATAATCTATAACAGACTATATGAAGCTTTGACCCTCCCCCCACCCATGTTACCTTTACCTTGGTCTTGCGTGTGACAAATTGTCCCACTATTTTAAATAATTGTGCCAGGTATTTTCAAAATCCCTTGAACGGTAAAATTGTTTATATACTGGACATATAATGTGACCTACAATTGGGAATAGGTGTCGCGCATGATTTGTGACAGGTTATTTCAAAATTCTATGATAGATGAAGGAATGTTATGGACTGGACACCATAAATACCCTTGAACAGACCACGTTGACCTTTAACCACTAAGTATGACCTGGACTTTGGAGGTAGGCGCCAGGATGTTGCGCACGACACGTAGTCTTGTTATTGTAAAATATGTGCCAAGTAATTTCAAAATCCCTTGATGGATGAGTAAGTTATGATCTGGACACAAAATACACCATATAAAAGACCATAATAACCTTTGACCTCACATTGTGACCTTGATCTTAGAGGCAATGGACTGGGTTTTGTGCACACCACATTGAATTATAATTTGTGCCAAGTATTTTCAAAATCCCTTTATCTGTGAAGATGATATTGATTGACACTAAATATACTCTGTAACAGGCAATGTTTATCTTTGAAATTCAAATGTGACCTTGACCTTGGAGGAAAGTGACTTCTTTTGGGGGAGCATGACATACAGTCTCATCGATACATCAATGCGAACATTTGTGCCCACAATTTCAAAATCCCAACATGAATAAGAAACTAATAGACCGGACGAGACATAACAATGTTGAATTTTAAATACCAAATGTGACTTGACCTTTGAGGTAGTAGTCCGGGTTTTTGTGCATGACACATCGCCTTATTAGAAAAAAAACATTTGTGCCAGGTTGTCCTAATGTTATGTTAAGTTATGGACCGAACACGAACGTCTGACAGGCGGTCGGGAAAACGGACGGATGGAGCCCATTTCTTAATCCGCTTTTTTTGTCTTTGAAAAGCGGGGTACAATAATTTCCATTGTCATAACACATTTTCTATTCAGTTACTAGATAGCGGCTCGATTAATGGATATTAAACCTCATCTTGATATAAAAATGTCAAACAATATTGGGTAAAAAGTCATAAAGATGCCAACCAAGGTCAACTACCCCGATCACTACCATTCAGCAAGCCATTCGACGATTGTTTCACGATATTTTTCTTAATTTGTTAGCAAGGTGGGCACTGCTTATTTTCAAAACTGGAACATTTTAAGAAATGTCAAATGTCTCTTTTCCGACTTACAACCAAAAAGTACCTATTATTATTTGCTGTTTTTGGGACATTGAGCTCGAAAAAAGTGGGTGTCAGTATAAAGTAGTTTTTTTTTAAAACAATATTTGCCCATTTAATACACATTTTAATAACATACCAGAAACAAAGTGGTACGTAGTCAAAACAAAGTCATGACCTGCCCTGAATGCTGTTGCTACCAGACCATTTTTGCCCTTTATGATCCCCGTCATATAACCAACCTCCTGATAATCAAGCTCATCATGTAACGCAAAGTAACGCAGTTTTCTGTGTTTGCCTGCAATATTGAAAGTTATATTACGTTTCATCACATGAAACAATTTTGGTAGATTTTCAATGCACTTATCCCCTACTTTCCTGCGCATCGGTCGAATGAATGTTTCACTATCGCTAACTTTCTTGTCTGAAGTAGCTTCAGTATCAATTCTCTGTTCCTCATCACTTATATATTCTGTTTCAAAGATGATCGAACTTACTAAGTTTCAAAAATAAAATATCCAGAGACAGTAGCAAAAAGCGAATGGGTTTGAGTTTTTTTTGACTTTCTCTTAGATAAAATTTAATGCCAGTGGATAATTTTAGCTTTCAAATTTAAAAACATATCTAAAAGAGCTATCTTAAATGCACGTTTAAAAAATTTAAATTTTCATTTGATAGATAAAAAATACTATAAATACAGTAAATGTAGATGAAAACAATAAATAATTCATTTAAAATAATAAATATTACCTTTATTGTCTGTGCTACCCTTTTGGTTACTCAAAGGTCGTACTTTTATAGTTGGATTGTTGTGTTTACATTCTAAAAATAACAAATTAAAACAAAATGACTTTAAGTCTCCTCTGAACAGTAACAGATTTAGAAACATTTGTTTTGTTAGCAAAGATTTTCTGAAATGATAATCACAACATGGAATTGAATCTGTGTTACATACTTCTATGACCATTATATAATAATAGTTATCAAGCATGATAAAGTACACTATGAACTATCGAAAATGTTATAAAAATTAGACTAACTTATCCTCTTCAGCGTGACATCGACTTCAGTGTTGGGCTTCAGTATTCCCTCTTTATTGATAGATGTTAAGGCAGCCTTTACTAAGTGTTCTGGTATATCACTTAGGCGAGGATTTGTATTTAAAATATCTTTCTTAGGTTTTACAGTTATACAAATTCCTTTATTGAGTTCCTTTTCCATCCCAAATGTTCCAATATAACCTGTTTTCTTATTACAATGTGAACCATCTGAATAGCGTGTGGTTGATTCGTTTTTATTTCCTTCGTCAAAGACACATTCTCTTTGATGAAATTTGATTTCGAGAAGCATAACAAACTGTATAAGATTAAAGCATTCCATGTCAAGAGACCGTAGCATGAACCGGATCAAGGTTTCGAATTCCGATGAAAAGAACTTGACGGGTAATTCTACTGCCGATTCGTTTGACCTTGACTTAAATGTTAACAGGATGCACCCTTTTTCAACTCTTACTACTTCAACATCTAAAACAGCATCCAATTCACTTTGAAATTCATCTAAATTAGATTGAAGATTTTTAAATATTAAGTCTTCGTAGTCACTCGTGTCCTTTGTACCATCTCCTTTGCAAGTTATTTTGAGTTTAATTTCAGCACCTACAACTATAAGCCATTCAGATTGTAAGGATGGTACAAATAAACGTACGCTAAGTAATGAAAATGATAAAAGTCATGTAAAAAGATATGGATACAAATTGATTCCTCGGAAGAATTAATCGCAACAAAATTACATGAAAATTGTATAACTGTTTATTTTGCCTTTCGTTGTTTATCATAGTGCCTGGTTTCATGAAAAAGCAAACTACGGAGAAGAAGTTATTGGCAAAGGATTCGATAGAAAGTAATTATGATAGTATTTGTCTAAGTAAACGTGTACAGGCCCATCTTTTTTAAATTATACTGACCTCGTTATAATGATACAAGTACTTTCATTATTCTGAACAGAGGAATGGGTTATTTGCCATATCTGAATATTCTCCTCTGATACATAAACCTTTATCGTTACATAGACATTTTCTTTGTGACTTTTACAATGGTATTTTTTTCTATTTAACTACAAACTATTTGTGTGGGAAAAGTGGATTATGGGTAATTGTGACAAATCGGGTTACGAATAGCAGAGGGAAAAAAACTTACATTCACTTTTGTTTTCGTAAAAATATTTTGCGCATTTAAGTACATCTTTTGGAGTTCGTAAATTACACCTAATTTGTTGGACGTTGTTAGTTCCAACTGTAATTGTTGTGATCTTTTCAAACACATCATCACAATCTAAAACGTTTGTTTGGTTATCTCCTATACTTATGACAGTCTGGCGAGGATTTGTGATATCTAGTTCTGTTTTATTTCCAACAGTGTCATTGTGACATATCTTGATTGGTCTCTCCTTGCTCTGTGTAATAGATCCTACAAATTATTGTATATATTTTTGAACAGTGATTATATACAGATATAAATTTTAATGTCTTGGCAGGTTTCCAAAATACATTTTCAAGACATTTAACATAATTGACACAAGAACATTTATTTGTTTACTTTAACTCTAAAATATTACCGGTACTTATCTTCTTTTATGTCTGTATATATATTTAACAAAATGTAATTAATTTTCGAATAAACAGTATTGACGATACATTTTAGCACCTTCAGCTATATTCGATATTTCTAAAATAATATATATCAAATCCATGAGATGAGAATAACAAAATTTATTACATTATTCTTAATATCTTTAGAAGACTTACCAGCAGCTGGTAAATCATCGATCGTGACTTTTGGTTCTGGCAGTTTTCGAAGGGAAACAAAGCGACTATTTCTAGTGTACCCGATAAATAACCCTTTAATTTGTTGACGTTCAGATGATTTGCAGTGTAATGGCCTTATAATCCTTGATTCAAGTGTTCCAGCATTAACTACCTCAATAGTTACCTTATAGATATTAGCTATAGCATACAACAAATCGTCGTTTTTAGGTTTTACCAATATGGCTTTAGCTTTAAGGTACCTGTATGCTGCCACCAAGTATGATGTGGAAACATTCTGAAAATATTCATATATATTTCGCTGTGTTTCCTTTACTGTTGCTTTCTTGTTAACACCTGAAAATATGAGTTGGTCAGCTACCGCCTCAAGCAAGCTATTATTGTCTTGTTGGAGTTGGACATTAACAACTGTAAATCCCAAAGTCTCCATTCTTTCATAATCACATTTATTCTCTATTCTTGATTTGTCTGAAAGACGTTGAAAGGACATATTAAATAACACTGTAAATAATAGTCAGTTATAATATTTAATGTACATACATGTACTTCATTCTGGAATTTTATAAATAAATAAAGAATTATTTTTAACCGTTTTAAAATTCTATACTATTAGAGAAATGATGAAGACGATTTGAGATTCAACTTTCGAATTTCATAAAATTGCAGATAAAGAATAACCGGCCAGCATGTCGCAGGTTTTGTTAAATCCCATGAGAATTGTTCGATCTTGAATAAAAAATAAGACTGAAGATCAGGAAGGCAAAAGCAACGTTCACAGGACGCAGCCCCCGACACAACCTAGCTACCACAGCAGGGTGTCCAGAAGGCACCACACCAAAGTTTATGGACATGATACTGTAATGCCTGAACTGTAAATGTGATATTACAGTATTGTTGCTTAGTTAAACATATTTTAATCATGCATCGTACGTCTAATGGATAATGCAGACAATGCAGAAGAATTAAGGGATTACGGACACGTGTAGTTATCTCTGTGTGCTTGTTGTAAGTAAATATTTGAAAAAAATTCTATAATTACGTTATTGTTGATCTTACCAGCTTTGTTGATTCTGTATCTCCATCGAAAGAGAAATAACATTGACGCTAGAAGACATAGAAATGACGTCAGTCCCGTTGCTACAACCAAACCACCAAAGTCCATCTTTGTCTGTGTTTACAGCCAGTTATCGTCTGTGTAAATATATTGATATGAAATTGAATTTAAAACATATTAATTTATTTCTTCAAAATTAAAAAAAATAAGGGCATTTATATTAAAGTACATGTATCTGATATGCCTCATCTAATCGTGTCAATAGACAGAAATATAAAATCCTTAAAGAACTGGCTTGGTGTGATTGAGCCTATTCTTGGAAGGAACTGAAAGTGAGACTACCCTCAACGCTCCTAGCACTGGTTAAAACAGAATTAAACATTTAACTTTTGTTGCTATGACAAATTGAAATAGAGTTAGAAAAAAACGTGTGCCCTAAAGGAGAAAACAGTTGGCACAACTAGATACAATGGAACTTTGAAAGATGACCAAAGATTAGGTAACCTTCACATCACAGACACGCTTCCCAGAAAAGCAGACGACATATCCTAATGGCTATTTAAAGAATACTAGAACCATCCATCTAAAACTGCTTTCCGACATTTTGCGGGTTTTTTTATACCGGTATGGTACAGACGAATGTTTAAGTCAATCATTTCTTGCTTGTAATTATTAATATAAATTTTGTATATCTATTTACTTTAAATACCCGTTAACATTATATCTACATTAACTTATGCAGTTATGTATTTTATACATTTTATTTTTCATTTACTAAAACAAGCACAGTCAAAGGGTAAATAGGGCTGAACTGAAGCTAACGAATTATGCAGTATAACGGTATGAAATAAAGAAGAAAGGGTGCCTAAAGATCGCCATTCAAAATGTTTCAGTCTACGTTTAATGGAGCCTGCCATGGAAGAGGTAATTGTAAGCTACCATTCACGCCACTATCCCTGGTTAAATAAATTAAGAAACACACCCTTCGATGTGATAATTATTCTTTGTTTACCCAATTTAACATCTGTTCTTCCATTTTAGATGACATTTTCAATTTGAAATCATATTTATGTAACTCCCTTAGACCTAAACAGTGGTGTTTGTGTGTTCAGACATCACCTTCAAAAAAATATTCCTCCGGATAAATTGGGTACATGGGTACATAACTCCTACATATCACCGTATTCGGTATTGAACTAGTTACACCCGTGGTCTGTATTTTACTCTCCATTTTTAAAAAGTAATTATCACTTCTGAAAATGATAAATGCGTATTAGATTTATTTTTTGCTGATGAAGTAACTTATATTGTTATAACGTTTTCGGTATAAAAGAATGATTGACAAACAGCTTGTTTGGGTGATTATGGATATTGTCAATCCTTGATCTCATATTACCCCGTTAGCTGAGGGGCAAATAATACGTATTGTAATCAAATAACTAATTTTAAACATTCTTTCTTCAAAGGATCTATCAAGTTTATAATATTAAAAGAATAAAAAAGATTAAACCTGGCCGACCTTTGGTTTACCAACGATCCTCATTTTCAACTCAGTTGAAAGTACTATTAAGGACAGATCATGCATTAACTATTAAAATATGTAGTAGCATTAGATAAATAGCGCTTTTTAAGCATTATGACATTGAATGAAGTTTCCCATAATACCGAACAGATAATATATATATAAATACTGTTTTACTTGTTTTTATCTAGTCACGCTTAAACAGTAACAAACAAAAAACCTCTTAAAACCTCTTAACTTCTGTTTCTCTTTTTTTATTTTTCAAATAAATAATGTCGGCCTTTGTAACGATCCTTAAAGTAAAATTAATAAATTAAACGAGACTTACCTGGAAGTTGAAGTTCAATTATTATTCTACTGCTACTGGACCACAGGGTTTAATGAGATGAACATATGATCTTATCAGATGACCAAGCAGACTTTCAGAGCATACATAATTATGCAAAATGCGACAATGGCTTATACATATGGGAGGGGTAACCGGGTGGGCATTAAACCCTGTGGTCCAGTAGCAGTAGAATAATAATTGAACTTCAACTTCCAGGTAAGTCTCGTTTAATTTATTAATTCTACTGCACTGGACCACCTAGGGTTAATGAGATTTTAGAGACCATGCTCGCATTTTGATAAGTCGTTAAAACTTCATAACCAAGTACAATGATAACGCATTCAATCTACGACTATTAACTTTTCAAAACTGAAAATGTAATGTACAAAATAAAGTATGCAATTGCCATATACATAAAATGCTGTAAAAGTAACAATCATTATAAAAGAATACTATTCCCTATTTCTACTGTGCGGAAAAGGTCATTAGGCTTGACCCCTGTTGCAATGTAACATTGCAAAATTGAAACATAATTTGCAATCCATGTGGAAAATATAAATGGATAATCAAATCAAAAACAGAAGTCAATTGTTATATCCAGAATATTATCACTTTAAATCAAATTATGAACAAACAAATCCGGTATTTAATCCATTTTACAAAAGTTATTAAGTAATTGTATTAATCCATTTAACAAGAATAATTGAATAAATCTTAATTCTAATAATAACACATAAACACATAAATTAAGAGAAATTAACTGCGGCCACTCTGATAGGATATTTTAAGCGTTCTGCTTGGTCATCTGATAAGATCATAATTTTATGTTCATCTCATTAACCCTAGGTGGTCCAGTGCAGTAGAATAACACTATTTTTAAACCTGCGCCAGTTTTACACTGAAAAACTAGTTTAACATTTAAACTTCCTGACTTCATTGATTAATCTACATTTAGATGTAAGTAAGCGAGTGAAGGACGAATGAACGCTTACTGATAATGCAACATCTGTTTAAGTTAGATTTAGAGTGGGAGAAGAATCAATAAATTACTTGTTCTGCTAAAGAGGAGCACGGACAATACAATTTTATTTCTATTTTCTTTTTATGTGAGGGGATGATACCGGGATTTCGATTTAGGAGACAGGATAAATAGTGCGCGTTTTATTTTTCAATATATTGCGGAAATAATAATCAGGATTTCTATTAGGGATTTCGATTAAGGTGCATGGAGATAATATCGATATTTCTATTTTTGATTATGTTCGGGGGATAATATCGGGGCGGGGATAGTATCAGAATTTATATTTTTGACTTACGGGCGTAATTTATATATTTTTTGTTAGTAAGGGTAATATCGGTCATTTTATTATCAAATTAAGAGCAAGATAATTACGGCAATTCTACTTTCGGTAAAAGGCGGGAAATTATATCAAGATATCGGTTCAGGGGTGAGAGATATATCTGGAGATTTATTTTTAATTTATACGCGTGGGATACTTCCGGGATTTCTATTTTCGATTAAGGGCCGTGTGATTATGCGAGATTTCGAAGAACGTGCAAGGATAATATCGGGGGTTCTTTTTTCGATTACGTGTGCGGATAATATCGGGATTTTTCTTTCCGATTTGAGGGTTGAGATAATATTTTGGTGTTTTTATTTTCTATTTTTGGGCGGGTAAGAATACTTTTTTTTAACGATGGTTTATATTTCAAAATTGCAATATTCATTTACGGGCAGAACATCGAAACGGATGTCATTTATCGATTTTTAAGGCGGGTAATTATATAAGAATATAAAAAATACAAGTGAAAGCTGGTAGTTAACATAGAGCAAAATGGAATCCCTAAAGAACGCGGTCGACTTTTCATCGCAAAGTCAGAGAAATTTTGGGCGAGGGATAACATTGGGACGTCTATCTTAAATTTTATATTCAAAAAGACATATGAAATACATGACTCTGACCTCGTTGTACTCTCAGCTTCTGCGAACAATAAATTCATTTTGTAAACAGATTACAATAAGGTTATAACATATAGAAACTGTTTAGTGTTCATGTTGGAAACGATTATTTAAGATTACTTTTCGGTAGCATTACATATAGATCTGAACTTATTAAAAGAAAAGAATATATCAAAGATAAACAATACCTCAGTAAAATATATTTTGTTTCCTGTCCAATCCTAGCCTGTAAAGATAAAAGAACACACATATTAAACGACCTTGATCTGTCTCACATAACTAAATTTAGTCACTCAGCAAATGATCTTTTCAGATATATTTCACGATTAAAGTCCATCATAATGAATTATATATTATGTGAAAAAGTTCCCTGAGTTTGAAATTTTTAACAAAAGAAAAACATAGTCTAGTTTACAGATAAAAGAAAACATAGTCTAGTGAATAATGATCTTCTAATTTTAGATCCAAGACATGTTGGAATACCATATTCGATTGTACATGTACTTAATGCATTATTGTATGATGTCCTGTTCCGTAAACACGCATAATTTATAGGCGCTGATTATCGCGTGTTACTGGCTAAGTTTTTGGACGAAATAGGACCCCGTTTTATTGACTTAAAACCTCAACAGACGGTAGGATTTTGCAGTACACTAAGATGTACAAGCAAATCTTAATGTGTGAAGTATACTATTTCTTGAATTTATACAACTTAATAATAGATTTACAGGATAGGACATGTTCCCTATCTTTATACTTGTTGTATAAACCTCCCACGATGACAGATGACATATTTCCCAATTATTCCCTGATAAAGTGTTAAGTGAATGAAAGCCCAGACCAATTAGAGCTAAAATGTAAACAAAGTAGTTAGATGGGGGTAAAAATGACGTTGGGAAACTCTTCAGAAGACCCAAATTCAGTGGTATGTTCGAATCCCTAATTATTCAAAAAATGATTATCTCTGTATTGAATTGTTCACTAATTAGGGGAGATAGTTTGTAAGCTGCTGCATAGCTCAGTCAGTAGAGCCGCAGTACGGTATTCCGTCGGTCCCAAGTTCGAGTCTCGGCCAGGCTGCACATTAGTCTCCTCCTGTGACAATTATAGACTTTCTTATAAAAAATAGAGAGTTTCAATCATTACTCGTGAAGAAAAGATAATATTTATTTAGAGAATAAAGTATGTAAGGGATCAATTGAGAGGAACTGTTTTTTTCTAGGGATACCTGATGACTCACACAATGCAGAATTACGGTCTGAATGCAAGTGTTGCATTGCTTTGAAAATTGTACATGATATCTCTTATTAAAGTCTGTTGAGGCCTTTAAATTACTAGAAAAGGTGTGTGTATTATGTCATTTGGAAGATAGCAAAAAGGCGTAAAGCGAACAGATTCAGTGTTACATCATTATTCATTAAAATGTCTCATATTATAACAGTTTCATTTTAAGTTCTTTTATAAAAGTAAATCTTTAAATTAAGTTTTAACTTGTGTGAACTGCATCCATTCATAGATGAGTGTGACGTTAAATAACAATATGAAGTATATAGTAGCATACTGGCCATAGCTTTCGCCCATCGCAGCGGCGATGGAGTATTCGTCGCAGAAGCGATGGATAAAATATGACCGTTTACTGTTGTCGGTTAGTAGATGACTGAATTTTGTTTTATATTTTAATGTTTTACTGGAAACACTTAGTGAGACTGGAGTCAGCATATGTACTCTTTCAACTTATTACATGCACACGCTGCAATTCATCGCCGTTTACATGGTTTATGCAAACACTTCTGTACAGATTGATGAGGGGACGCCACGTAAACTTTGCCTGATTTTGGTAAAAACACGTACAAAAAGTGGCGCCCCTCGCCAAACTGTACAGAAGTGTTTGCATAAACGGCAATGAATTGCACCGTGTGCGTTTTATAAGTTGAAAGAGTACATACATAATTCGGCATCTTAGTGAAATAACATAATAAATGCTTCTAAATTTAAAGACAGTTATTCGGTTATTGCACTATGGTGGAAAGTTATTATGTGGGCTCCAGTCTCACTAAGTGTTTCCAGTAAAACATTAAAACATAAAATAAAATATACTTACCGACAACAGTTAACGGCCATATTTTACCCACCGCTTCTGCCGCGAATACTCAACCGCCGCTGCCATGGACCCACCGCTTCTGTGAAAGCTATGGCCAGTGTGAGTAGAGAGAAAAGGAATTGTAACGACCGCCGAAAAACGGCAAGGATCAGTTTCATTGAGCTTGTCCATGGACAATACTGAAAAGTGCAAGCTTCCGTTCACGTGCCCAAGCAGCGGGTTAAGCAAAATTAAACATGAAGTGATATAACAAGTATATAAACTGTAAAATGTTGTTATGTTTTTTAGAAAAACGACAAAAATGTTTAGTTTCAGAAACCTGTCAATCATAAGTTTATTATTCAGTTTGTATACTATTGTGCTATTGTCGCATTTTGTTCGACCCATTCAATAACGCTTCGCACTATAGGATCTGTCACCTTCTCGTGGTCTTTCAATCAAACATTAATTTGCGGAAAAGCAATGCGGTTTCTAAAAACTGAGTTGGTAGTGAGAACAAACATGGCGTTGTCCATAAAGCCGACAGGTAAACTGGCAAAGCAATCTTGCCCATTAAAAATGACTCTTTCATTTCAAGGTTATTTGTTAAATTTGAAAATTACTTTAATTTTATTTTTCTAACAAAAATCAAGAATTTGTTTAATTTTGTTTAACTTCCACGGATAATGGTATTTTGATACATGTTTGAATGCAAAAAGGCTATTATGCGGTTTGATTGCATGGCTAAAATTAGCTTTCTCGGGAAATCTTAATTATAAAGTGCATGTAGGCGAAACATATACGGTGGTCATCAGATCTACATTGAAGAAGTAAGTAGACCCGAACTTTAGTCAACCTGACTTCGGATATAGATTATTAATTTCGTATTGGAATGGCATGAGCTATTTGTAATTTTTTAACTTTAGACAAGCAGTGCCAATATAATCCTAGGTTAATACTAGTCATAAATGTTTGACACAAGGGCTCTAAAATCATTATTTTAACATTTAAAGAATGTTTTCCCTTTCTAAAGAAGAATATATTTGTTTCTGAAGCTTAATGTACCTTTACAAAATTGGGTTGGAACAAATAACACCTAAATCGAAAAACGATTGACATTTTTTGTTGGAACTTTTGACAGAGCTATGCCTCATGCCTAGAAATGAGTATTGGTTACTTGCAAGTATTCAAAGATTTGAAGTATAACATTACCGGGTGAAGGAAGATTAGAAAATAACTGTTCCGAAGTTCTTTCAGTAAAAAATTGGACATTATTTGTTAAAATTTTAAAAAGAGTTTTGTGAACTTGTCTGGTAGTAAGGATAAAGCGTGATCACTAACACATATTCTAAAGTTTCAAAGTAATAACTTAAAGGCTATAAGAAATGAGTAAGGTGGTACAAAACAATAAGCCAACATTCTTCGTAGAAAAAAATGGGCACATTTTGACAATATTTTTGACAAAACTATGTTCTCTTGACCGGATTTTGAAGTAAAGGGTACAGAAAAAAATTGAGTGGTACAAAAAAATGGATACTATATTAATATATTTTAAAAACTTTCATGAAAATTAGCATGAACCTGGAGACATGATGCTTTAAAGAGAACATTATTGTTTACAGCCTTACTAAAAACATTTCAGGAATTTCAATTGTAAATATAAACACTTTATAAATAAATAATGTTATAACAAATTTACCTTTCTTTTACGCGACATGGCTTGTATAGGGAGAAAACTAGTTTGGATATTAACCTTATGATATGCCAGGGTTGTCTCCCTTTTAATAAATTGCAATAATGAGTAAATTATATTATTGCCTATTATATATAAAGAATACTAATTATTATTCTTGAATTGTGATTAAACATACTATCTCCTTTGGATGCTAAGCTTTTTAAATAGAATACACTTTCAAAATTGTATGTTTCCCGTTGTCTTTATTAATTTATTTATTCTGATATATAATATTTTATCTATTTTTAGGGGGTGGGCAACATTAAGGATCACCTCTTTTATTTAACCTCCCCGCCCAAATGATCAGTTTGCGTCGGGAAACCATCCCATACTAACCTTACAAAATCTCTTTTGCATTTACATATAAAGCAGATGTGAATAAACAAGAATACACGATTCCAAAAGCATAGATCACGATCCTTGATGGATTTTTAATTAATTACCCTTTTTATTGGATAAAAAGAAATGTTGTGATCAAATGTTAAAAACATGACATCCACTGGCTCCAATGAATGACAAATGCCTCACATCAGTTCATTTGTTCTTTCATGCTCGATGGGCGTGGGTAGATTTTATTCTAAAACTGCTCATTTTTAAAATTTTAACACAAAATTAACAAAAAGAAATGAGCCGCGTCATGACAAAACCAACGTTATGCGTTTGCGACCAGCATGGATCCAGACCAGCCTGCGTCTCCGCGCAGTCTGATCAGGATCCATGCTGTTCGCTTACAAACCCTATTACAAGTAGAGAAACTGATAGCGAACAGCATGGACCCTGATCAGACTGCGCGGAGGCGCAGGCTGGTCTTGATCGGTGCTGGTCGCAAACCCATTATGTTGGTTTTGTCATGACACGGCTCAAATAAAGTTACAGTACCATGTATTGACAGCATTGTATGTATATAATTATATACAAAAACTAAAACTGAAGACACCTATGAAGTGATCTTTAAAAAACAGTTAATTTATATTTGTAATTGAGCAAGGTTAAAAAATTATAAAGTTTGCACACTATAAACAATATCTAAAGTTTATATCATGATTTAGTTAAAAGATAAACTTCGACAGTAATCGACATTTAGTCAACATTTATACACATTGGCTATAGTTTCGTGTAGTCATTCATTTAAACAACGCCTCGACCATACATCAACGTTGTTTCAACGTTGCAACAATGTAGCGTGCCGGATTGAATACCTATGCGAGCGTTGTTAGATTTAGAAATGAAAGCTTGATCGTTATATATTTCGTTTGATTATTTTCGCTTTCGTTTTCTTTAATCAAGACAAAAAATAGAAGAAAATGACGAAATGGCACATAATAGAAATAATTATGTATTTCATTTGTCATACAATGTACCATGTATGCCTACAGTTTCTAAATATATCTTTATATAATGCGCAAATGTGACCTAGTCGAAATAAGCATACGTGCTGTTTTGCAGTTCCTCATTGTAGATACAAACGTTGTTGTGTACTTGTCTTTCGGGATCATTGATTTCGAACTTTACGTATTGAGGATTGAAGACATTCCACTGCTTTTAGCAGTAGCTAGGGAAGGCAATATCTAGCCTG